AGGTGATGCGTTCTAATGTATGTATGTACATACATACGTAGTACATGCATACGTATGAGCGCACCTTGAACTGTTCCACAGGGGTTCCGATGCTTAGCCATTCGTTTCAACGGCTTACTTTATCAGGTTATATTCGTACCCACCCAAGTGTTCACAATGGCAGAGACTGCGTTGTAATGAGTTCACGAAATTTGCACTCATTCACTTGTGCATATCGTCGTTTAAAGTACAAAACCGCGTAACTGGCATTGGCTGCCAAAAATTGAATTTGCTCACACAAGCTCTTGGCTGAATCCTTATCCATTTGTCCTGAAATATGCTAGCCAGAAATGCGATTACTTTATAAAAAAGAGAACCATTTTGAAATATGAGTATTTTTACGCTCTAGAAATAATTTCTACAACTTCACATACGCGGTTTTGCAATTTGCTGATACGCGGTTTTGCATTTTGTTGATACGCGGTTTTGCACTTTAAACGACGATATGCATGGTTGTTACATACATAGGTATGTTCATATTTACATGCAATTGTATTTATATGCATTTGCACACATCTCTATTAACGTAGTTGAGTATTCAGTGACAATTTCAATTTCCACTTTAATTTTTTTTTTTTACTTTTTGCGTGCCTTCTCTCGGTCGGTGAAAATAGTGTGATGATAACGAGAAATTTGCTGTTAAATAAAAATTGTTTAAAATATTTTTGTTATTTATCCGAATGTGAATTCTCATGGAGCCTTTAAGGTCCTAAAATGTATGGAAAGAACAATTACTTTCCATTTACGAATATTGAAAATGGCGTAAGTATACCTGCTCCATAAGATTTCATCCGATGTGCACTGGTAGTGGTAATCCGCTGACATACTTCTCCAGTTTCATGTCTAGGCAGTCAATTCTTAAAAAATAGCCCATAATAACGCCGACGCCTAAGACTAGTCAGACTCGTCTGTGACACCGAAGGTATGCATTCATAAAGCTCATCCGCCTGACGTGCGTTCCCATAAGGCAATGGGCCCTAATGATTTCTATTACCAACCGGAGTAGGCAGCGTTTCGATTTTGTAAGAGCTTGGGAGTTCTGTTGTGATTGGAACATGTCTCTAGTGCCAATATTTTATTTGCCGTGGCATTTTTTCTCATTGTTGTCGATCTCCCGAAGCTTTTTTTTTGGTATTCGTTACATTTTGTTTCTTACGCTCGCTCGCCTAGTCACTGCCTAATAGTGGATTACTTAGCAACGGGCTATACCATAAACTCTTCTGGCTCGATACAACGACTTAGCATTAACGGATGAGGAAATTGAGGGGAAGTCAACAGGCCTCCTTAGTGACAACCCATATCATGCTCGACTAGGTAGATTTTTTTTTTAAATCGAATTTGCTCTAGTTATTTACTTTTAAACATGATATCATCTCATGAAATTGCTTCTTTTTTTTAGCTACAAAGCATTCCTGCCACACTGTGCCGTGACTTTTATTTCGCGTGCACTGCACTCACGAAGTTGGGTTAAGCTCGGATATGCGTATGCGCACCGTAAGCGTACATTAACAGTTATATAATTCTCTTTAAGTATGCGACTCTACTTAGATATATTCCTGGTTCTATTATTTCAACTTGTTGGCTGAAGGTTAAGTGGGTTGCCCTGCTTACACAAGCTCAGCTATACTATAAATTGTGGATGCTATGCGGCATTTGAGCTTAGCTTGCTTGTTAAATCAGTGTGAACACATAGTCTAAAAGAATATTCAAAGCATATGTATGAACATAGATATACATACATATATAAACTTACATGCATTGAGCATAAAAGGCACACCTTGAACTACAAGATAAATCATAGCTTAAGGCCAATTCTATGTCGACTACTTTTCGAATTTTTTGTGACAGAAAAAATAGTAAACGCGCATTGATGAAGATAAATGGCAAAAAAACAACGTAGAAATTTAAGCAAATTACTTCTGTGGATTAAGCGTACGCGAGATTTATTTATTTAAATTTGTTTACATTGCATTTTAAATGATTTGTTTTTCGGGCTGGTTTTTGCTTACAAAATTTGGTGAGTTGCTATTTTTTGCTACGCGTTTTTTTCGGTTCTACTTGTTTTGCATCGAAAATGATGTAATCCTCAATTACATGCACCATTGACAGTCGACGGCTTTAATAGCCATTAAAAATGCGCAAAAATAAATCGCTTGTCAGCTATCGTTAATTTGATTTAATAAAAATATTTTAATTTTTATTGTGATGAAAAATGTCTCTTATTTTTTACCTAAAGAAGTGACTGCATATCTGACTGTCGGTTAAAGAAATACACAAAAATATTCATGTTTTTCCACACACACATGTGTATGTATGTAGCTGCAACATTTTTATACAGCACGCTTTTTTGCGCCTTGAATTTTTTTTTTGTGAATTCGCATGAAATTAGAAGTGTAAATAACTGATATCATCATTTGAATTTTCATTTGAGTTCAGTTCAATTGCATGCGATATGGGTCCTTGTCTGCATTTTTGTTTGTTATTTTTTAAATAAAAGTTTTGTAAATAAAAATTTCTTAAATACACATTTTTAATTTTTTTATTTTTTTACAACTTTTGTTGTAGCAGTAGCCTTATGCACTTTTATTATCATATGTCATCAATGTCTGGACTGTAAAAATAACAAAAGCTGCACAAGTCTTTGAGCGCTGTTTGCAGTTCTCAGAAAATTAGACAAAACTTTGCTGTTTTTGTAAATTTTCTGGGAGAAATGGATATGAGCATATCTCAGGAAATATTTTTTTAGTGTCACTTCTTTTTCGCACAAGGAAAAAAACGCTAAAGCACTCTTCTTGCATATGTTTCAATCGATGGAGTTCCAGAAACAAGTACAATAAAAAGAAATCGTTTTTTTTTTACAATTTTAGCCTTAAAACGTTTATTTAGGCGAAAGAGTACGGAAATTACTAATTTTTTCATTGTCACTCAAAAAAATCACAACTGTTTTTTCTTAATAACTTTGGAAAGTTTTCAAATATAATGTTCATAAGTATAAGAGGCAACGAACGTTAGGACCAACTACAACATATCTGTAAAGTTTCAAGAGTGTGCCACTAAAAAAAAAATATAATAAAAAAATGGCAGCATGCAGAATATCTGCCGCAGCTATTTTGTAATTTTTTAATCTTTTTTTTAGTGTAATAAAACTAGTGTGCTGCCAAATGAAAAATAATTAGATGACTATGATTTGAGAAACAAAACTTCCATTTTTACAATTTTTATTGGCGCACTCGAAATTCATTCTAAAATTGTTGTATACATATAGAAAATAATATATATGTGCATAAGGAATATTGTGTAAAAATCTTCCATGACAATATCTAATTATTTTTAACCCTTTGCTACTTACGTGACCGAAGTTTCCCTATTATATTGACGTGTAGTCTCTCAGACACCAACTTTCCGGATCAAAATACATATATTGGATATTTATTAATAAACTTTTTTTTCGATTTAAACTTGAAATTCTATCAAATCTTTAAGTACTCATTAATGAAATAGTCATATAAATAAACCATATGTCGAAAAATATGCGTTTTTAATAATCAATGTTATTGAAGCTCGGGAAAAATGTCGAAACTTGGGTGTCTCTTAGACTACCACCTCAGTCGCAGAGGGTTAAATTAGATGACTTTTGATTTAAAGCGTGCTAGTAAAATACGATTTTATGGAAAAATGTAACAACTCGTGAGATTTTTGTCCTGAAAGCTGCATACTGATTTAACAAATTTTGATAGAAGAATATTTCTTTTCCATTTCTTGTGCGTCATTTTATTTATATGCATTTTTCGTTTTCATTGCAGACAGCCAGTTCTTTATGTGAAGATTTAATCGCCTTTATAAATATAAATATAAATTTATAAATTATTATCTTTTGATTGTAAAATCATTTTCTTTTACTTGTTTCTTGTTTTTATTTGTGGTAATGCTGATTTTTTTTTTAAATTATTTGGCCTGTGAAGTGTCAAATATCGTTTATTATTTTTTTGCAAAAATTATAAATATCTAAATGTTTTCATGCGGAAGTTTTTTTCCTAAAAAGAAGCGATTGAAAACCATCTTTTGGAACGTAACTCCCCACTCGAATTCTTGAACGATTGCATATACATTTTCTTTACCACGAGTTTAACTCAGGGTTGTGCCTTTAAAATATTTACATTATTTACAACAATTCTTTACTTGTAACTAATGTAAATATTTACAGGGTGATATTTTTGGTGTAAATAATGTACATTTTTGAGCCTGTAAAATATTTACATTATTTACAATAATTCTTTACTTGTAAATTATTGTAAATAATTGTAAACAATGTGAATATTCTTTGCTGCATGTGCCTTAAGCCTTAGTACGTAGAATTAATTCTCTTTTCAAAATTTGTGTGGCAGCGTAATAAAAACCACTCACTTACTTATCTACTTAATTGAGTTAGAAAAATTCTTTCACAATTTTCTAAAATTAAATACACTGACCTCTATCAAATGGGTTAATATCATTATATTTTCTAGTCTTTTTATCTAACCATCCGCATATATTTTAATTTATTTCATTTAGCGAAATATTTGCATTTGGACTAGCATGTCAGTGGGTATTTGACTTAATTTAATTGAGACAAGCCAGCACACAAACTGCTCGCCAGCACTGCTGCTTGCGTAAACCTCTAAATGCTATTAAGACTGTGAAAAAATATAAAGGAACGAGCAACGCAGAGTGTGGAAAAGCAGCGGTCGCATTACTGCCATGTTATGCGCATGCAAATGCCTTCAAATTAGCTCTGAATTCCGTGAATGCTGATGTGCAACATGAGCCAAGCTGTTGCATGCAACGCACAATGCGCGCAGACATGACTTAACCAACAACAATCAACAATGTACCCAAAAAAAAAAAAGAACAATTAGTGTATGCGCGCAGCGAACGAGAAAGTGGGCAAGAATAGAAGACGCATAAGACACAGAATGGGTACCTAATTATGGAGGGAGTGATTAAAGGTAAAGTCGAAATCAAAAGCAGCTACTGTCGACCTTTTTTTTTTGCCTAACGGAAGTAGCATGGCATTACGCACAGGTGGTGTGCCATTCAGTACTTTATAAGTTGCATAGCCCTAATCTTGGTTATGGATAAGTAAGCGCTATTCAGCTTTGAAAGCTTTCACACAAAAGAGTTGTGTTGTCACACAGAAAACCTAATGAGTTGTGGGCGACAATTAAACGCCTGACAGCTGCAGACATCCGCAACGGTCCGCTGCTTCGTTGACATTATTGTTGTCCGCTAGCTGTGTGTGCCAGTTGAATGTCAGTTAGGCGCTTTGTGGTGATTAGAAAATTACAAAATTACCCCACATATCTAGCTGTCAAAGCGCGCGTGTTGACAGGTCGACTTGATGTGATAACTTGAGTTGGGTTGAGCTGTGCTGATTGTCAGCTGAGTTGAGTTGAGCTCGTCTGACAGCGATTATGACAATTAAACACTTAAACGGTACTGCTATGAAATTAAAAACAAAAAAAAAAATGTAGGTTAGGAAGTTAACAGCTAAGCAAAAAAAAAATGTTTCTGTGCTCAGTTAGAATCGTATGTAAACCAAGTGCATTCTTTTGTGAGATACTAAGCTTCAAAATAATAACTATGGAACACTGGTCTCCCGGGAAAAGAGCCCGATCAGAACTATTAATATAACAGATAAACTGGCAGTTTGTGTGCACATTATTGCCGTAGCTTAATTAACACTGAATAGATCAGTGGATCCATTAAGTGTTGTAGACGATCTCATCCAACGGTAGGCCCAGGATATGGCCGTTAGTTGAGTTGATTTGAGTGGAAAAATTAAGAGATGGAGCCTCTTTTTTATGTCGAGGCTGATTCTAGATATGTAAGTGTTTAAGCTGCTACATATTCAGTACGTAATTTCACAACGATGAGGGCACTGACCGTCTAGGTTGAACCTGGTCTTTCATAAAATGGCTCACGTGCATTAGAAAAGGCTCAGACAATAAGCAAGCGCCCATAGATGGGGTTGTAGTGGTATTGCTCTAACTTGAACTGTTCGCTAAGCTTGATGTTATACCTCTTGACTGGCATAAATTGGCCTGCTCTTTGTAAATGGCTCCCATGTGACATCAGAAGGCATACCGCGGCAGTCCTAAGTGCGGCGTACTGGCAGGTCTGAAGCTTCGTAGTGTCAGTCCCCGTTAATACCAGAAACGGACCATAGTTTAGAACTGGGCAGTGCATCGCCTTGTATGTTGCCAAAAACCTCACTTTGTGTTACTCTCAAGTGCAAACGGCGTAAGTTTTGAAGACTTTGTTGCGGCTCTGTACTTTGATTGCGCTTGCATTAACAGAGAAGGAGAGAAAACTAGCAAAAGCAACCTCAAAAATCAGGTTATTTACGATCGGAGTTGTTACGGTCACGCCTAGTATTCAAGGAGTTAGCTTGACTTCCTACGTCTAGGTGCTTTTTAACCATTGTTTTCGCAGAGGAATTCCTTAGGTTTTATGCTGTTTTTTCGGTTTTTTATTTGCATTAAAGTTGGCTTGTTGAACGTGATAACCACCTAACTGGTCGCTTGTGTCTATGCCCTATTTTTATTACCCTACGTCAAGTTAAATTAAGATTAAAGAGCTGTTTTATGTCAAGCTGTCAACGAGAATTGCAGCTTATTCTCAGTTTCCAAAGTTTTCGTTGCTTTGGTCCGGGACGCAGCACCCTTAAAGTATACCTCCCGTAGTTTCGAGTAAAATGCACCCAGAGCGTGTTTCCTTGCAATTCTTGCATGACGATTTTGCCTAGCACCCCAACTCTTTTACGTGCCAGTGCTGGACATTTTCAAAGGTAATAAAAGATGTTTTCCTATTTCCTTCGAGATTGCACTGCCGAGGATTTTAGGGGCCAGTTGCCCCTAATCACGGCTATTCAAATATAGTCGACTGTAGCATTCCGGATATCAGGCGGTGATGAGTAGCGCGATTTTCTTCGCCCACCCAATCTCGGCACTGATCTCGTTGCTGCCATCTTGCAATGCCCGGTTATATGTATCTGCCGTTTGTGCCTTTCCTGTAGGTGGACATCGTTGAGCCTGCACCATAGCTTTAGAATTGGTCTAGAACGTAGCGTACATATCGGGTTTGCCTTCACTAGTGTCAGAAAAACCCAGCAGTAAACTCCTTAACTCGATTTCAACCTTTTGCATTGCTGGTTATACCTTGTCTCTGCACGTCACATATTAAGATCTACCACGAATATTGGGCACAATATGGAACTTCAGCGTTCAAGCTCCAGCAGTTACCTTTCGAAATTGTTTATTTTTCAGATAATGGCTTCGTCTACAAGCGAATATCCGTAGTACCCGTGCTGTCTGTCTCCAGAGTGTTCAAATCGCATCTGGGCTGCTTTGACGATATGCGTGCAGTGACTTGTTGCGCCCTGATTTAACTTCTAGATTTCGGCACTCTTTGATGTCTGCTACTTTTTGACACCCTCTTGTTTTTTTTTTATTGTAGCGGCATTACTAAGCCCAATAGTTGTCGTCAAGCTCAACTAGGGGTAGGCCCAAGAAACGAGCGGTTTCGACGGAGTCAGACCAAAGGCAGAGGGGCGTTAGTTGAGTGGGATTGAGCTGGCATGTGAAGAGGTGGTTTGTGTCGTGCGGAGAGTATCCACATGCCGGACACTCATTGGGGGTATTGGGGTCAAGTGTGGATAGGTAGCTGTTGAGACGCCTACAATATCCAGACCGTAACTGGGCCCGAGTAAAGCGGGTCTCTCTTGGCAGTGGCCGCTCCGTGTCTGCTACAGGTGGTGATTGGGCTTCGATCACGGCATTCATAGGTCGGCAATAGTGGTAGATGGTTACCGACTCTCTATGAATGCCACTCGCCGGTACGCCGTCGGGTCCAGTGATTGGTCAACGTATGCTGGACCGCGTCCATGTATTCGAATAGCTGCCTTCTTACGTGCCTGGGCGGAGACTCCTCTTCTTCGTCTGTGGCATCCGGTAAGCATTTGGGCCTTGCTCTGTAGGTATTAAGTTTTTTTGGAAATTTTTTAAAAGTAAATTTAAGCCATTAAACTGACTATCAGAGGTGATTAATCGATTTTAAGAATCGAAACCCCTTTTCATACCCGCTTGCCGGGAGTTTAGTCGTACGCTTGTCCCAAGAAGGTTTTGAGCATTGGGTAAACACGTTTTTTTTTTCAAAATAGTTCCGTTAAAAAGCGTGAAAAATGAGATTGTGTTTACCACAAAGAATTAAGTGTAATTCAATTTCATAAAATATGTAACGGAATTGTTTGTTGTTGTTGATGGCATCATTTGATAACATTAACACTTAAGCTAGGCTGCCGTCGTGCGCAAATGTCAGGACAAGCTATGTACGTACTTATGTTTGGCGTATTGCAGTTAGTTTATGCATAGAGTATGCATGTAATTGTGCCTGTGTTAGTATAGTGTTGATGTCGTTTGCAAGATATTATCATCATAATACTTGTAAGCCATACACAATAGAATTTATATCATGTACAGCTGCTTTTTATAGCCACAAGCACACTATAGATACGTAATTTGTTTTGCGCATTAGGGTGGCAAAAAAAAAAGAATCCAACTACCCCCCAGAAAAATTGTCGAATATAAATGCGTTCAAAAAAAAAAAAAATTCCCAAAAATGAACGCAATTTTTAGCAATTTAAAAGTGGCACATCAGAATTTAATAGGCTACAAAACTGCATTCTCAAATAAATTCTGGAAAATCTGATCAAAAAGTTGAAAATTTAGATGCAAGTTTGCAATTTAAAAAATGAATATTTAAAAGATTTGTTAGAAATTTTTTTCACAAGAAAAGTCCATAAAACCAAATTTTTTGTTGGACCTACCCAGAAAAGTACTAATTTTTTACGAAAGTTTCTTTTTTCGACGAAGTTTTTTTTGGGGGTGGAAAATAATGATTATGTAATAGCACTATTTTACCTTATGTCAGCTTTCGAACCCATATTTTTATCTTATTACTATCGAGAGATTTACAATTTTGTCCATCGATACTTCCAAATCATACACTGTGCGCCGGGTCTTGACTTTTTCCATATATGTATGTATTTCACCTTTTAGCTTTTGGTAGAATTGCTATCTCGTTAAATCGTTAAAAATAAATATTTTTTAATCAAAAGAAAAAGTTATCCTTCAGAAATTTTCAAAATATAAGTCTCGGCGGGATGGTTAATTATTAACAGATTTCCAAATAAAAAATTACAGGGGTCCTTATTTACCATTTTCTATAAATTCCAAAAATTTGATTTTCTTGTTTATTTTTGGACCACCCTAATTTACATATACATATATACGAGTTTAGCTGCTCCTGTACACAGTGTCATAAACAGCCATAAGCAATAATCGTTGCCTCGATGCAAATAATATATGTACGTTTTGTTAATAAAGCAAAAGGCGTTAAGTGACATTTTTTGAAATGTATGTGTATGGTTTTCCGTTAATTTACTCTCGCTACGCCCTGTTAGAGAAGTTTCTGGTATATCTTAAAGAAGACAAAATTTATTGAGACCTTCTGGACAGTCCCGAAAGCAGTTGCTATGCTTTTCACTTTTGCAATAAAATATCAAATTTGTCATTTAGGCGATTTTGCATTGACGATGGCAATAAATAAGCAAACGCTTGTGTTACGAGGGTTGTCAACGAAAAACAAAAAAAAAAGGTCTTAAAGTTTGTCCCAAAGGTCACGTATTTAAAAAAAATAATAATTTCTTTCTCAATATACTAACTTATTTATCAGCCCTCGTACAAGGATAAGTTGTCAGTGGCAGATGCAACACACTTGCTACTGACACTTATCATTCGAATATGCACTAACTAGAAGCCGCCTACATTCTTTAGTGCTCGTCAAAAGCTTAAATAGAATAATACTTTTCACATATTTTGAGCTCATTATGTTGCTGCCATTGTTAATGTTTTTATTGTAGTACATATTGTTACATTGCAACTGCAGA